TATCAATATATAATAATATTAATATAATATAATAATAATCAATAATATTAATATAATAATAGTCAATAATGAGGAGAGCTGGGGAAGTAATAATATTAATAATACATAAAAAACAAGAAGTGTGCCTTGATGTTTCAAACAACAACTGACTATACAACTTCGAAAAGTCGCCGCTAAAATTTCATATCGAAGGATTGTACTGAGAATATCTCATCGCTCTGAAATTCTAGTTACATACACTTGCTCCTTTCTTTTTCTCTTTCCTTTTTTTTTTTACTTCGCCGTCGCGCCTTTGGATGCAGAGACGAACGAAATCGCGAACATCTGTATCCTGTTCTCCTCGTCTCGCGCGACGTTGGATCGTTTCCATTCGTAAAACGATGATATGGGTTGATATAGTATGCTCGATTGCGCAATATCGAAGCCTTCTCCCAACGCCGACGCGTTGTATTATTTATAATAATAAAGCCGAGCGTGCAATAACACTGTTTGATATGTCTCTAAAAAACGCACGTCTTTCAATTTCTCTCTTCGCCTCTCGCAACGAATTCGATTGTACGTTAATCTACTAGATATAGGAACGTAACGTGTAGTTTGATCGACGAAACAAAAAGATGCCCAACGTTTGTATTCCGTCAAAAATTGACACCGACGATAATTAATACTGAGCATGGAAATTTTCGTATTACTAGCGTCCAACCAAACTTAATTATACATCTTCCCTGCGTCTCTCTCTCTCTCTCTCTCTTTTGTCTTCTACTTTTCGCATGTTTCATCATTCGTCTTTATCTTAGATTTTGAATGTACAATGTCCTATTACAAGTTGATTAAACCGGCGGGCTATTCGGGGGGGGGAAAAAATAATTTATACAATTTTTTCTCAAACATTTAATTCGAGAAAAACATTTAACGCATTAGCAATAATATCGAATTAATATTTTTTATAGATTCTCGAGTCACCCACCGATTTAATCAATTTCATGAGACATTGTATATCTAGAATTTAGTGTAAAAATGAACGAATGTTGGGAAAAGTAGAAAAAGAAAGAGAAGAAATATGTTTCTCGACAGCAAGTTCGATGTTGTGCTAATAATGCGCGTAACAATTTTTCATTTACGCTCAGCACAAATTATCTTATACCGAACGACAAAATTCTCTTTTTTTTCTCTCACTTTTCTCTCCCTCCATTCATTTCATAGTGTTATACCTCGTGCGCAAGAGAGATGATTATAGCGCAGCGCATAGAAAATACAAGTCAAACTGCAATGTATGAAAGTACATCGTTTTGCCCTCACGTGGACGCTCTTCCCTACTTTAGTAATATTATTATTATTATTATTATTATTATTATTATTTTTATTATTATTATTATTATTATTATTGCATTGGCTCTTTCATTTTTTTTCTTTTCTCCATTCATTCATCGTTAAATTCCTGAACTCTGAGGTAGTCTGTTCCGGGTGTGACATTACGTAGTAAAAATGGCAAGAGTGCTACATATCGTTTACCGTGTGTTACCGTGTTATACGCTATACATCGATATTATTATACGCGTGTATGTGTTGCGTGTGTATCGATATTATTCTTCCTTAATATAATAAACAAAACCGGGCTTAACGTGAAAGGATGTCGCGTGTGTTTACGTTCGCGTCGCAGCTCGTGATGTATTGTTGTGTACGCTCGCAATTTTTCCACGTGTATCCGAGGATGCATATCCACACATCCGTATACTGCTTTATATAGGATATATCTAAAAACGTCATTATAGAAATCATTTTCTTCGCAGTTAGCGACGAAAATGATCCCCGAAATAATGCAGCATCTTAAAGCGACTGTATCTTACAAACTTAGAAGACGTCTATTCCATGTTTATCGTAAATTATTTTAGAAATATCCTATATATACATCCACATTTCTATACTAGATATTCATCGTGACGATACGCGCGATTTTTTTACACACTTGCGACAGATTATTAATATATCGTGTTAATAATATATCAATTAATATGTAGAAGGAATATTCCGGATAAGCGGAATGATTTTATCTGTTGTAAATAAAAAAAAAAAAAATAAAAACAAGTTTCGAAAGAATTCACGCTTTAATATTTTTTGGTTCTTTTTTTCATTTACATATTACACAAGTGCTTCCATAAATAGAAGCGGACCGTCACGACGAACAAATACATGATTGATTCGTAAATTATACAATTATATGTGTAATTATATTAACAGATCTCTCTCGTTCATAATGAAACGCAATCATAGAACAAGTATTTTCATCATTCATTTACTTGCGTGTTTATTTAAGATGAAAAATAATTAAATAAACTTGATCAAAGTATATATTATATATACAGTATCTCTCGACGTATGCACATTGGAAATAATTCTTCCTAAACGACAATGTACAGCACGGTAATGTGTGAATGTGTACATGTGTATGCGTGTGTGTATGCGACAGAGATGTAAATAATTAACATAATATTGAGCGAGAAACTATTCGCACATCTAAGATCGGTCGGTCGAGTGAAACCGAACAAGGACTGACGAAAACAATAATCTGTTATTTCGTTATAACAAGGTGAACGTTTACTCATAATATGTATTTGCGTGCGTTGAACGACGCGTGACTCGAGGGGAAATTTCCCTGCAAGGAATCGGATCACAGTCGGCTCGTTTTGCCATACTAATTAATCAGGTATCAATTAATTAGTGCCGTCAATATGCGGAATTGAGCTGCGAAAATAATTAACATTAATTGATGAACTTCAAGCGAGAACGAAACAAGAATAAATGTTAAACAACCGCTAATGAATAATTAACATATCGATATTTTTAATGAGACAGAATGTTAGCTATTAATATTCAATCAATGTTTTTAACTCTTATCGAAAAGAGCGACAAATGCTTATATGGCAATTCACCATCTCCGCAGAACAAATAAAATATATAATTTAATTAACTTTAATTAGCTTATTAAATTATCATGCTTATTTACAATATATACAAATTTAATATCGAAAGAAAAAATTAGTAGCTTAGAATACTTGTTGGTTTTACAAGATTTAAAAGATTATTTATTTATTTATTTAAAAAGATATTTTAATAGATGTGAAAAATTTATTTTATGATTTCGCGCGTAACTCATTTGACGCGCATGTCAAATCGTATAAACAATCATATTAATATATAATTGAGTTTTAATATAAAATTATAATATATAATTGAGTTTTAATATAAAATTATACTGATTTATCAATTGATAAGAAGATCTAATCAGAGTTTTAGCAATATAAAAGTGAGTTCAATTTATTTTGAGCAATGCGCAGACTGTAACTTAGACTATCTTAGGCTCTTAAATAAGCAAATAATGCACTATTGTGAAACGTGCCCAACATTGAACAATAATTGGAATTTATATCGCAAAATGAATGTAAAACAAACTTTGCTTTAGATAAAATTTTAATTCTGACGAAAAATTATTTCCAATGCGCACACGTCAACACATGTATGTTATGATATATACTTTAATCAAGTTTATTTAATTGTACTTGATTCTACAAAAATAAATGAATGATATAAACGGTTGTTTTGTAATTGCATTTCATTATAAACGAGATCTATTTATAATATAATTATACATTTTTTATAATATTTACAAAGCTCATATGTTTGTTCAGTGTGTGTGACAATCCGTATAAGTCAAAATTAAAACTATATCTTATATATATTTAATATTTTTTAAATGCTCTTTTAAATCTTGTCTTCCTAAGTTAAAATGAGTTATAGATCTATTAATTTTTCAAATATTAAATTTTCAAATTTTTCAAATATTAAATAAATATAACAATTTAATAAGTTAATTAAATTATATATTTTATTTGTTCTGCGGATAATTATATGCTTAATTTCCATATACACATTTGTCACACCCTTTTCAATGAGAATTAAATTATTGATTTAATAATAATAGATAACATTCTCTCTCTAATTAAAGATATTGATATGTTAATTATTCATTAACAATTATTAACATTTACTCTTATATTTTATATGTTTTCTCTATTAAAATTATTTATTAATTCATGTTTATAATTATCGTGCAGTTCAAACTTGCATATTAACGGTACTAATTAATCGATACCTGATTAATTACTGTGATCAAACGCTGCGATTGGGATTCAAATTTTTTAGCATTAAAAATCTAAAATAAAAAGTATTTTTTTACATTTCTTTTGATATACATTCTAATTATTGATTAATTTAGAGCACGTTTTCACGATTCAAGTTTTTATTTGTTTTTTTTTTACTATATATATAATAGAATCTTTATTTTTATCTTTCATAAACACATGTAAAAAAAAAGTTATGATATTTTTATAAATAAAATATATTTTAAAACATATTTTACAACAAGTACCGCCTAGTACAAAACAGAAAAAAGTTTGCTAAAAATAAGATAAAGTAAATTTTTGTTTCTTCATTATATACGTTTTCACATTTGTTATTAAATTAATTAAATTGTATCATTATTCATCACATTTCACAATCTATCATGTTTAATGATTTGCTTTATTCAAGTTAAACAGCAATAAAACTTCTTTTATTATAATAAAATATTATATTATAGTTTTATAACTTTATTATAATAATTATTAATTAATGTAATTATATTAATTTTGTTACAAATATTACTTGGAAATTTATTGCTATTCTGTCCACATGCACAATGGTGGTATCTTATTGATAAATGTCGTAATTTACCAAGAGAAGAAAAGAGAAAAGGAAAAATACTATATATTGATAAAGTATGAAATGTATAATGAGATAAATGAGAGCGAATTTTTCGATAATTTTGAAAACGTATATTGAAGGAACATAAGAAATGAGATGCAATTATAAATACATATGTATTTATGTATATATATGTATATATTTATAGTATATGATTGTAATACTAAAAATATATAAAAAGTATAAAAAAACGACGAACAACTCTGCGCTTTAATGCTAAAATTGTGTTCGGCCTTTTGTATAGTTGCATTTCATATTATCATAGAGAAATTTGCTCTTTTACTTATATCATTATGTAATTGTAATAATTATAATATAATAATAATATACACACACTTTTCTATATATATATATATATGTATGTAATACTTTGTACAATGTTATAAGCTTCGAGGACTTATTATAACGTCTATATTTTAGTTGCTGGTCACTTATTGCCAATTTGAAAAAGCGACGCTTATAACTTTCTCGAGTCGTCAAAAACATTAAAGTCACAATCTGCCAAAAGATCGATGCGATAAGAATAATATTTAGAGAAGGATCTTTCTCTTAGAATATCGCGATTTCGATCGATATCGTCGTGAAAGTTTCGCAGATTTTTTGTGTTCATAAAAGAAGCACAATGATTTCGATACATTGTGAGGCCCGTTTTGCCTTGATTACTTTCCATCAAATGCCTTTTGAATAAAAGCTTGAATAATTAATATGAAATATGACGTTAATAAAAAAAAATTGAGAAAATGACGATGCTATCATACGGCTTGCATGTCGCTATATTAAAACTATTTATCAAAAAAAGTATTTATTCGCAGGCACAAGAAAGAAATTCGTCATCTATTTTATTTTTTTTATCGAAAATATTGCATCGTTTTACGGAAAATTACAAAGTAAGTATCAAATCATTCGTAAATCGAATTTTTACATATCTGGAGAAGAGAAAAAATGGAAAATATGCGGACAAAGACGATACCTGTCGGTCGGCGATAAATATTATCTTTCGTATCTCGATCATCGTGACGATCTCGAAGCCTAATCGAACTCGACGTCCCAGAGGCACACGTCGTTACAACTTTGTTTCGTAATTATTTGGGGTATTGAGCTGTTCATTATTGGATTGTTGATTGTTGAAATGCGCACCGTTTCGTTTCTTTCTATGCGTATGCTGATGCTTCTTCATGTGATCTTGTCGGATGAATCCTTTATCGCAAATATCACATTTAAACGGTCGCTTACCGGTATGGATGCAGGTATGCCGCTTGAGGTCAGTTTTGTGGGCGAATACCTTCGGACAGGCTTCGCAGCGATGTCTTCTCGCACAAGTGTGCATCTTTACGTGTTTTCCGTACAGTTCCTCGTTCGGAAAACGCTTGCCGCATTGCGTGCATTTGAACGGCTTGTCGCCGGAATGGAAGCTTTTGTTATGCTGCGTGAGATAGCAGCCTCTGACAAAAAATTTATTGCAATCAATACACTTATGGATGCCATCCTGGGAAATAAAATTGGCTCCGGTGGTGATGACCTGACGTGGCTTCTTCGAGTTGGTCTTGCTCTTACGCTCCTTCTTAGGCTTCAAACCGATGTTTGGATCTAAATCCTCTTTTGCCTGTCTCAATTGTGAGAGGTGGTTATTATTTGTTTCGAGTTCAATGCGCGCTTCGAGATGATAAGAGAGCGTAGATACCTGTTGTTCCTCGTTTGTCTGCATCATTGTTACGTCCATATCAGTCAACGACTTGTAGCGCGATGGTGAATACGGATCATAGGTCGTTGCAGAAGATTCGAAAGATTCTTGAGGAGCAATTTCCTCTGCGCTTAGCCCCCCCACGTTAACGGACTGTATCTGATTTTGTTCTACTACGAACCCGGTTAGCACACCAATTTGCGTGAAATTATTCTTCTGATCAAAAATCGTAAAACTGGGCAGCAACTGATGTTGTTGTTGATCATTTTGTTCATTGCCAATAGTAGTTAGCTGCATGGTGGTAATTGGTTGGGTAGACTCCAGTAGGACCGCCGGGGTGCTGGTAGTAATTGTAACGTGGGGGGGCAAGGCGTTTGGGTACGGCTGATGAGGCATCGTAGTACCCCCCATCGCCGTGGGCGAAGTCATCGCCGGATGGACCGAGCCTGGTGGCGAGTTCATGTGATGCGGGTGGGGGGATGAACCCATTGGCGAAGGGCAATTCCCCATGTGCGATGCCGCTTGTGGGGGTAAGGGTGAACTCGTATGATGCACCGGTTGGCCCAGCGAATCCGTTGGTAGGTGAAGCTGTTGTTGCTGCTGCTGGAGGCCCAGCTGGTGAGGCGCAGAACCCATTTGTTGCTGGTGATGTCCCGCCAGCGACGATGGAACCGGACAATTGACCGGCATTATTCCCGAGTGCGGCAGGTGGACCAGCTGTTGCTGCACTAGGGCCGCTGCCGAAGAGTCGCTGCTGTTGCTGCTGTTGGAATTGCAGTGCGTGGTGGGCGTGTGAAGCAGGCCCCTCGTCGCCTCGCCCGAGGGACCTGCCATCAAGTTTGGGGGACTCCTGGAAGAGGGTAAATCCGACGGGGATCGTGTAGGCGCACCACCGCCTCTACTGCCCGAATGATTATTCTCTCTAGTGGGATGATGATGATTGCTAATCGGTGAATTCGCTGGATCAGGTTCCTTGCCGTTCTTAACAGCGTTCTTGTGCAACGTCGTATTATAGTGTCTCTTGAGATGGCCCGAGCTTGTAAACCACTTGTTGCACGCAGTGCAGTTGTAGGTCTTTGGCCGGCGCGGCTCGTTACTTTTCCAGGATTGGTTTGCTAACGGCGGCGCTTTTGCTGGTTGCTGGACAAACCCCGCTGGTATCTGATGGCTTGCCATCGGTTGCGTGCTCGAGATTATCGGTGAGCTTTGATGTCCGTGCTCCACAGGCATATGTTGACCGCGCATGAATTGACCCTGATCAGCTATCGGTGGAGGAACATTGTCTATGGGGCCCATAGACCCAAGCCCGGTATGATAATCATGTGGTTGGGTAGCCGGCGGCCAACTCAGCATAGAACTCACCGAATGTGATCCTATTCTGTGCTGCGGCTGCTGTTGCTGCTGTATCAGTCGATGTTGCATCTGCATCTGAAGTCCCTGCTGTTGTTGCTGCTGAAGTCTTATGAGCTCCTCTTCGTATCGATGCGTTTGCACTTTGTGAGAATCCAAGTCGAGGATTTCAGCTTGCTCTTCAGGTGGTTCCTGTTTCATGTCCGACTTATTCGTTTGTCCACCGTTGTAATCATAACCGGATTGTTGTTGCGGTTGATTGGAAAGAGGCGGCGATGGATGCAACTGCTGAGGACTGTTGCCCAGTTGTTGATACTGCGGCGCAGGTGGATACGCGGAAGGTGAATCCAAATGAGTCGTTCTCATGTGCTCGCCTAATTGATTAGCGTCTTCATAAACCGCGCCGCATTTATCGCATTGAAGCGGCGGACTCTGCGGGCTAGTAGAATTGGACGTCGTGCGATCCGCAGAATAGTGCTGCTGATGCTGATACGGATGATAGCGCGGGTAACCGCCGCTACCATCGCGATTGCTTTGAGCGTCTTCTTGTGACGGCGAATAATGATGAGTTAACATATAAGATTGTTCGTTTGGTATGTAATAACCGCTGTCGCTATACATTGATGTTTGAAAATCATATGGTGGACACACAAGTGTATGTATGGCAGATTGTTGCTGCTGCTGCTGCTGCTGTTGTTGAGGCTGTTGTGGCTGCTGTTGCTGCTGCTGTTGTTGCTGCTGCTGCGAGGATGTTGGATCTTGAGAAGGCGACATTGATGATGGCTCACTCGAGTCCGTTGGCACACTCACACTCTCCCGATTGGCATTCACGTGACTATTATGATTACCAGTCTTACTATGATTATTATTGCTCTCTTCCTGCTGTGCCTTACTGGCCCACTGATTTAACAAGTTCTCTTGATGAGAATAACGCACGTGCACCTCCAGGCTCTTCTCGCTCTCAAACTTGAGACCACAGTCTTTACAATGATGCCCCGCATTCGAGCTACCGCCTACGTATTGTTGCTGTTGCTGCTGTGTCTCGACAACACCCGTCATCTCACTCATATTGTCTTTTTTCCACTCGGCCGTCAAGTCACGCGTTTCAACCGTCGAATAGTAATTCGTACACAACGCGAACAGAATAAAACTAGACGATGCACACACATGAGCGCTCGTTACACGCGCCCGAGCGCGCGCGCGCAACTATACCGTGGCGATTCTTCTCCCTTTCTTTCTGGTCTGTCGTTTCACTTAGTCGCCTCTTGGATCGCGTCCTATGACGCGGCAGAACTACGCGTGATGTAGCATGCGAGATAACACGTGAACGACCACGATCGTACATGGAAGCGCGAAACGATACAGCGGCGAGTCACGTGCGAGGACTTCACTAGTTCGCCGGGAGAAACAATGCGCCTCGCGACCTAGTCGTACATCAATAGAAGGGAAGGAAAAGGGGAGGAGGGGTCCAAAACGAAAAAGAGAGAAGAAAGGAAAAAAACAAAAAGAAACCGGGAATACAACGTGTTCTACATTTATCATATGATCGCACCGATTCCGGACGCGAATATCCAATTCAATGTCGCTCGATAAATCGCGATCACCGCGTGCGGCATCGTCGGCCTCGGTTCGACGGCGTGTCGACGACGATGACGACGACGACAGCGGGACGGTACCACCACTTACCGGCTCCTCGGCTGAGAATTAAAGACGCGGATCTCGATAATGAGCGTCGAACTCGATATCGGTTAACTCGGCGCTGGGATGAACAAAACGAAACGAAAACAGACGCGCGTATCGTTCATGATTCACATGTTGTCTGGCGAGAACGCTCTCTACGTATTTACGTTATTATCGTCTCTCTTTCCAAAGTCTCTCGCGTCGGGAAACGATCGAGCTTTGATTTCGAGAGATTTCCAGCGGTAACGCTCGATGATCGTTGGACCTGGACAATTTTCCGACGATTGTCACGAGCGCGAGACACTTCGCATTTTGCTCACTGTCTATATTTCTCACTTATAAAGTCTTTTTCTTTCTTCTCCTCACGCGGGACGATCGTGGGTGTCTAAGAGTCGATCACCTGACGTCGCGTATCCGGTGTACTGCGAGAGCGGAACTGAGCCGGCGAACACAATGAGACGCAACCACCTCAGCCTCGCATCACCCCTCCGTCCAATTCCCCTCCCCTCTCCCTTTTCTTTCTCTCTCTCTCTCTTTTCTCTCACTCTCACCTCGGATTACACTCGCTCACTACAACTGTATGACCGTGTCGTACGAACGCCGGTACTACTCTGTCGGTTGGAATTCCGTAGTTTCGACTCCTCGGGCTCGCGCCAAGGCACCGTTCTCCTCCCCTCATCCCTCCCTTGCCCCCGTGTCCCGCCCCTCACCGCTTCCTTCGCCAATCCTGCCACCCCCTCTTCGTCGTCACTTCGTCGTGCCTCTTTGGAGTCTCTCTCTCGGTCCCTGTCCTCTATCTTTCTCCCTCGGACTTCAGCGAGCTTCCCCTCATTTCTCTATTATCATCTCTCTTCATCTTGTATCGTCGTTCTCTCGAGCGTCTTTCTTCCTTCTCATCCAGCAACATCGGCGAATAGCCGGTCTCTTCGTCCAACGCTCAGACTTTCTCTTTCTCTCACGAAAACTTTATCGTTCCGTCGCGCTCCCTTCGCTGGAAGAACTCTCGTTCTCTCTCTTCCTCTTCCTCTCGCTTAAACTTCTCCCTTCCTTCTCCATTCAAATGCTTGACCGAGAGAGAAACACGAAATGCCTCGCTTCTCTCTCTCTTTCTTCTCCGCTTGCTTATTCTCGTCTCTCCTGCGTACCAACCCCACTACTTTCGAGTATAGTCGATCTCCTCTGATTCCCTGCCTGAACTGAAGAGGGATAGGCACGCACGACAGAACGGTGGAAAGCGACGGCCAACCAAATTTGAGACCTCCTTGCCCTTCCTGGCATTCGTCCTCCCTCCTCGCTCCTTCTAACGAGTGTTTTGGCCGTTCTCTCGCTTCAGTTTTACTCGTCTCTCTCATTCGCTCTCAGTACGGCTCCAAATTCTCCAAGACGGACTCTGTTGTGTTTTGTCCTTCTCTTTTCTTCAGTCTCGATGCATCCTTTTTCAATTACGACACCCGCCGTCACGTCTCTTCCGATTCTCTATAGTGACGCGTCTTGGAAAAGAACACGACGGATAGAAACGTGCGTATGGTACGAGAATCCTTGTTTGCTGCACGCCCGACATCGTCCTTACGCAGACGAAATCTTTTGAAATTTTCAAGGTGGATCTTTTGTGCACACGCAGTAAAAAATTTTGCGTTAAATTTAACATATTTCACATGTCCCAATTTATCCACTCCAATTTTAATGTTAATTTAACAGAAGGCAAGTATGTAAATAAATGACACAAGTAATATGCTTAAAAATTAACACAAAGTGTAACACTTAAACTTTATCTGGAAATAAAGTTTATGTTAAATTAACATATTTATAATGTTAAATTTAATTCAAAGAAAATGTTATTCTTACATTTTTATGATAAATAACAGAAGAGATATGTCGATTTAACATACGGAAACTGTTATAGAGAGAAAAATAACACAACTTATCTGTTCATTTTAACATATAACATATTTCATCAAAAATTCGTGCATTTACATATTAATTGTGTTGTTTTAACTCTTAGAAACGGTAAATATTAACTCAACGCAGAAATGTCAAAATAACGCAATGGTAATATGTTACATTAACATAAGAGTATGTTAAAAATTTAACACAAAAATTTTTACACGAGAAAATTTTAACAGAAATACAAAATGTTTTTTACTGTGCAGTAAAAAATTTTGTGTTAAATTTAACATATTTCACATGTCCCAATTTATCCACTCTAATTTTAATGTTAATTTAACAGAAGGCAAGTATGTAAATAAATAACACAAGTAATATGTTTAAAAATTAACACAAAAGTGTAACACTTAAACTTTATCTCGAAATAAAGTTTATGTTAAATTAACATATTTATAATGTTAAATTTAATTAAAAGAAAATGTTATTCTTACATTTTTATGATAAATAACAGAAAAGATATGTCGATTTAACATATGGAAACTGTTATAGAGAGAAAAATAACACAACTTATCTGTTCATTTTAACATATTTCATCAAAAATCCGTGCATTTACATATTAATTGTGTTGTTTTAACTCTTAGAAACGATGAATATTAACTCAACGCAGAAATGTCAAAATAACGCAATGATAATATGTTACATTAACATAAGAGTATGTTAAAAATTTTTTGTTAACAAATTTTTGTGTTAAAAATTCAACACAAAAATTTTTATACGAGAAAATTTTAACAGAAATTCAACATGTTTTTTTACCGTGTATTTAAATTTTCAAAACAACATTTCGTATTTTATATCTATCAATCTCCTTGCATATATTTTTTCAATATATTATATGAAGCAAATTCTTCCCTTGTAGAAGGTTAAAAAATAACTCTGCATTTCTCTAAAGTTTTTCTTCTATTAAAATTTCTCGCCTAAAAATCATACAATCTCTGACTAAGATTTTACGTTTAAATATAAAACTTCAATTTGTCAATTTTTATTATTCAAATAATTAAAGTCAAAGATTAAAGTTTACGAAAAGGATTAATTAGTGTAAATTTTTAATCGGCTTTCAGGATGCGCTCGAGGATACTTTGACGTATAAAGAAAATCACATCATCGGAGAAATAAATGTGATTCTGTGGCATTTAACGTGTTAGAGATTATCATCGCGCGGGCAGGTCCACTTACCTCTGCCAAAAAATCCCCTCGGTTGAATCCTCAAACTGCTCGAAGATCACCTAATTCCCGGCAAGTAATAAACGTAACTCTCGGCAGTTCGCCTAACTTTTTTATTAGGCCAAGCCACGAGCCCCTTCGTAAGTGTCTGCGTAAAAAATGTGCGAGGGTATTATCTGACGATAACTAAACTCTTTTTCTCGCCCTCTTCCCCTCCTTGTTCGTCATCCCTCTCTCTTTCCTTTGCGCGCCCCTCTCACTCGGTTTCGTTCGCGAAACGATACGATGGAATAAAAAAAAGAAAGGAGAAAAAAATGTGGGTAACCTTGCATTTTTTTATGATAACTTTTTTCTCTACGCGCGAACCCAGCCCGTGCACTTTGCATACGGAATGCGACAAGTCCCTCTATCCTGCTCTCTTGTGCCCGACACCAGCCGCATCCACCACTGCTTAACCCTTTACTCCAACTATGAATATGTTTATTGCACGGTGGCCACCTGATGCAGGAGAGAAAACCCTGCGGGTGGATGCGCGGCACGTGGTGTTATAATTAATAAATAAATAATTGATATGAAAAATATAGCGTGATGATTAATCCTAAAATATCGCAATAAACAATTGATTAAGATTTCAGATCTTGTGTCATGCTGATTTGCATGCAAAATTGATGAAAAGGAAATATCATAATTATATATAAAATTTGCTTTAGATAATTTGTTATAATTCAAAATTAGACAAAAAATCGAGATAACAATCTATTTAATCTGATGCATATGCTCTAATGTATTCAAACGAATGTATTTTAATGTCTATTTGTAATATGTATTATATATTTCACTTTTTTAAATATATCTTTTTAAAAATTGTTACACGATGTTGTATAAAGTTATAAATAAAAAACTGTCCTTTGCAATTTATAAATTATTTAAAATTAATAATCTTAACAAAATGTGTATTTCGATTTACTTGATAATTTCAGAAAAGTTATTTAACATTATAGTTAAAAATTTTACACAAAAATTAACTTTGACGCAAAACAAAACTTTATCGACTAATAACAATTCCCAATTTAATTAAAGATTCTTCAGTCCTTGCAACATTTTGTTAAAAATCGAGAAACAATTAATTCGAAGAGAGCGCAAACAAAACGCAATCATTCTGCAGCATTCTACGGCTAAATTTATCTTCCTTCAATAGCTCCGTTAATTACGAGATTTCTATATTTCTCAATTCCCTAATCGAATCACCTCCCTTTTGTTTCTCTTTCCTTTTTTTTTTGTTTCACAATTTTCATCCACCAGCGCGTCGAAATACGGCGAAAAAGCCGCCGGTTAGTGGGAGGGTGGCGGTAGATTGAATCAGCCTAAGCAGCAGCCACCCTTCTACGGATTCCTCCTCCCTCCCCCTTCATCCCTCTCCCCAGCGGCTTTCTCCTTCGTCTCCACTCGGCATTTTCGAAGTGGACGCCGAGCTGACCGAACCACTATCAGCTAGATATTCGCTGGCGTGGCGTTTGCGCCCCATTTTATTAAGGAAATCCCACCCTAATCCCCCAACCCCCGCGGTCCCTCGTGTCACGAAATCCTGCGAGAAGAATGCGGGGGACAGGGGGGTAGTCTTCTCGTAACACGTTCTACGACGTGCGCTTTTTCGTCCTTTTTCCTAGTTCTTCTTTCCGCTCGCTGTCTTCTTCTCTCCTCTCCCTTTTGCTCTCTCTCCCTTCCTCCTAACAGACGGAATTGTTTTTTCCGAGCATTTTTCTTGCGGTTACGAGGAAGAGAGGGAAAAAGACAACGGCATCGTTCGCAAGTCCATGAATGCGTGACGCATATCGATGAGGACGAGGTGTATAACGAGAGTTTCATTCGCATTGAATGGAAAAGTGAAGCATTAAAGGTGATTCATTGATCGTAAATTGAGATGATTCCTCTCTGATTTATCAATTTACAGAATTGAAAAGTATGAAAATAGATAAACTGCTGTCAGGTATAATAGTCTGTCTATTAATCTAAAAAAGAAACTTGAAAAAATAATTGTAGATAATTTATGAAAAATTTTTTATATTATATTTTTTATATTATTATATATTATATATTATATATTTTTTATATTATATTATATTTTTTTATATTTTTAATCTTGACATGTATGTAACACTTCTCGTTACATATTTACATGATTATTATCCCTTGTATTTTTCGTAGAAAAAAATTTCTAATTATATAATTAATTCATATCAAAATAATTCATATCTAGAGCGATTATTTTTATAACATTGTCGATCTAACACAGCAAAAATTTGATTACAAACTTCGTTATTTACATTTTTATTTTATTTCATTGTAAAACTTTGTTAACGAGGATAATAATGCAGAGAAGGAAAAGATATAGGAATAAAATACGTAACGAGAAAAATCTTCTTCGCACATTTTTTTTCAGCACATGACAGGAGACTTCGCGAACCGCATTTCGCGAAAAGACACGGTGACCCGTCGTCGAAAAAACGCCAGAGTCGCTAAGAGTCACAAAAATATTTCGCGAGTTCGGCAAAGCAGGCAGAAAGAGAGAGAGAGAAACTAT